AACGAACGGGCTACCAGAGCTGAAACTGAAGCCGAATCCTTAAAGGCAGACCTTGCTAGATTAGTTGCTCAAAAAGAAGCTGTTCTTTTTCAGTATAACCAGACCCTGGAGACATTGTCAAAATGGGAGGAGAAATTAATACAAGCTGATGAGAATGCAAGGAGAATTAATGAGCAAGCTAGTATAGCCAAAAATGAAATTGAGGAAATGAGATTAGAAATCGGTAAACTTACCAAAGAGAAAGAGGATGCGGCTCTTCGTTATCAGGAATGCTTGGAGATAATTTCTAGTTTGGAGCATAAACTCTCTTGTGCCCAAGAGGAGGTGCATGAGCTAAATTGCAAGATAAATGATGGAGCTCAAAAGTTACATGTTTCGGAGCAGAAGCGTGTTCTCTTGGAAACATCAAATCACACTCTACAATCTGAATTGCAGTCTTTGGCACAGAAGACGGGGTCTCAAAGTGAAGAACTTAGTGAGAAGCAGAAGGAATTGGGTAGACTTTGGACTTGCATACAAGAGGAGAGGATGCGATTCATTGAGGCTGAAACTGCTTTCCAAACTCTTCAGAATGTGCATTCTCAATCTCAGGAAGAACTTGAATCTCTTGCAGCCGAGCTTCATAATAAGGTTGAAATTCTTGAGACAATGGAATCACATAAGCAGGCTTTAGAGGATGAAGTACACAAGGCTAAGGAGGAAAACAAAGTTCTAAATGATCTCAAACTGTCTTCATCTTTTTCGATGAATAATTTGCAGGATGAGATGTTAAACCTCAGGGAAATAATAAAGAAACTCGAACTTGAGGTTGGATTGCGAGTAGATGAAAGAAATGCTCTTCAGCAGGAAATTTACTGTCTTAAAGAGGAGCTGAAAGATGTGAACAAAAGATACGAATCCACGGTGGAGGAGGTCAGATCAACCGGCTTAGACCCACAATGCTTTTCCTTATCTGTGAAGGTATTGCAAAATGAAAACTCAAAGCTGAAGGAAACAAGTGAGGCTGACAAAGTAGAAAACGCAGCTCTCAACAAAAAACTGGAGATCATGGAGAAGCTTCTGGAGAAAAATGCTGATTTGGAGAATTCCCTTTCGGTTTTGAATGCTGAGCTGCAGAGTATCAGAGTAATGGTAAAGGTATTGGAAGAAACTCGTGAATCCTTGATGGCGGAGAAATCCACTCTTGCTGCTGAGAAGGCAACCCTGTTTTATCAGTTGCAAACCACAGCTGAAAAGCTGGAGAAGCTTTCAAAAAAATATCACATTTTAGAAAATTCACTATTTGATGTGAATGCCGAGCTTGAAGGATTAAGGTTGAAGTCAGTGATTTTGGAAGAGACTTGCCTCTCACTTGACCATGAGAAGTCTAGTCTCGCCTCTGAGAAAGAAACCGTAGATTCGCAATTGAACATGACTCGTCAAACACTTAAAATTCTTGAGAAACAACATAGTGAGTTGGAACTGCAACATTTGGAATTAAAGGCAGAAAGAGAGTCTGCACTTCAAAAGGTGGAAGATCTACTAGTTTCATTATATGCTGAAAGGGAAGAACATTCTAGAGTAGTGCAATTGAATGAAGGTCACTTGGTCGAGAAGGAATTTCAAATTCATATTCTACAAGAAGATGCAAATTACCAGAAAAAGGAATCTGAAGAGGAACTGGACAGAAATCTCCGCACTCAAATAGAAATTTTCATCTTGCATGAATGTATTCGGGAATCGGAGAAAAATAATTTTTCCCTTCTAGTTGAGCGTCAGAGATTCTTGGAGGCATCCAACATGTCTGACAGATTGATATCTAAATTGGAGAATGACAATGTTCAAAAGCAAGTTGATGCAAATTTGTTGTCTGAGAAAATTAACATGCTAAGGATTGCGCTGCTTCAGGTGTTAAAAACTCTTGACAATAACAGTGAGCATTTGCCTGAAGATAATGTTAAGGAAGACCAGAAGCTTCTGAACAACATACTTGACAAACTTCAGGAGAAAGAAAATTCTTTTGTCGAAGTTTTTCGTGAAAACCAGCAAATGGCCATTGAGAATTCAGTTCTTGTTACATTCCTTGGCCAGTTGGAATTAAAGGCTGAAAATATTTCAACAGAAAGAGAAGCTCTTGATGGGGAGTTGAGGATCCGGTCTAAGCAATACTTGGCGTTGCAAGAAGAGGTACAAAAGATGCTAGAGATGAATCAGGCATTGAAGTTAACAATAAGCAGAGGAGAAGAGAAAATGGAAGTAATGACAACTGAAAATTTGATGGCACTTGCGGAACTAAGCAATGAACTGGATAAACTTGTTTTAGTAAATACCAACCTTGAGGAGAGATTGAAAGTAGTGATGGGAAAATTAGAAGATGTGCAAATGGAAAACTCATATCTTAAGGAGTCATTTGTAGTGTCAAACACTGAACTAAAATTAATTGAATCTGTCAATGATAAGTTAAATTGTCAGATTAGGAATGATAAGGAATTATTGTCTCAAAAGGAAAATGAAATTTTGGAAGCAGCGGAGATGCTTAGTGCTTTACAGGAAGAGAAAAAAGCATTGCAAAAATTGGTGGTAGATCTGAAGAGTAAGTACGAAGAGGCGACGATGTTACTTGAAGACCAAGGCAGTCAAATTTTAAAACTATCCTCCGACAAGGATCATCAAATTGAAGAGCATGAATTCCTTTGTGAAATGAATAAGAAGTTAGAGAAAGTAATGAGGCACCTGCATCAAGAACTTAGAGAATCTAAGCTAATGGAAAAAAAGCTAAGTTATGAGATTGAACAATGGGAATCTCAGGCTGCCACATTCTATACTGGAATGCAGATTTCTACTGTCAATGAGACATTCTTTGAAGGGAAGGTCCGTGAGCTAGCTGATGCGTGTGAGAATCTTGAATACAGATGCAGCTCCAACGTTATGGAAAGTGGAAAGCTGAAAGAAAGTGTCGACAAGTTGGAAGATGAAAACAAGAAATTACGGGTCCAGTTGGCTGCTTATGTCCCAGCTGTCAGTGGTTTGAATGATTGTATAACATCCTTGGAGATGCAGACGCTTGGGCAATCAAAACCTAATGACTTCAAAGAATCAAAGGTATTAACATACTATCTCTAGTGTCCCGGGGAAGGAAAGAAACGGAGCGCTTTTTGGATCAAATAAACTAGTGTTTTTGAGATCGCTGAACACTTGTGTGCTAATGACAGATCATTTGTGATAAAGTGAATTTAATTTTTGGTCCAGCATCAATTCATTTTTGATATAGATATATAACATAGTTTGTGTAAATCTTTGTTTCCAGGTTAAAAAGTTTGTGAATATCAAATACGCTGAAGGCGATCCACGAAAAAGTGAAGATCAAAATGCTACGGAAACAGATGCACTTCCAGACTTCCAAGAAATGCAGAAAAGGGTTAATGCAATTGAAATGGCTATTAGACAGATGAATGAAAGTTTCAAACCTAAGGATGAAATGAGAGAGATTCAAGTTTTAAAATCAGGAATCAGCTGGCGCCAAGGAAATGCTCAAGCAAACAAGCATTCTATTCAAATGGATGAAGCCAAGGAGCATCAATATGGAGCTGTTTATGGACATAAGACAAGAAAATCATTGCAAGATATTCCTGTAACAGAAATCGAAGTTCTTCCAAAAGACATCATGCTTGATCATACGTCTGAATGTTCATCGTATGGGATAAGTAGGAGAGGAGCTCATAAGTCTGATGAGCAGATGCTTGAATTGTGGGAAACTGCTGATCAGGATGGTATTATTGGCGTGACAGTTGGCAAGGCACAGGACACTGCACCTATTGGATACCAACAAAGGAGACTATCCAAGGAATCCAAAAAAAAGTATCCTTCGGTAGAGTCCTTGATTGAAAAGGAATTGAGTGTAGACAAATTAGAGATCTCAAGATCACAGTCGCGGCCGCTGCTGCTTGAAGGCAATAAGAGAAAGGTTTTAGAAAGACTTGATTCAGATGCTCAAAAGCTGATGAACCTCGAAATCACCGTACAAGATTTGATAAACAAGATGGACATTATTGAGAAGAACACCGCGGGAAAAGGTGTAGAGTACGATGATGTGAAAGGACAGCTTGAAGCTGCTCAAGAGGCCATCACAAAGCTGTTTGATGCCAACCGCAGGTTGCTGAAGAATGTAGAAGAAGGAACTCCGTCCTTTTCTGGGAAGTCTACAACAATGTCAGATGAGAGTGGAAGTGTCGGCAGCAAAAGAGTTTCAGAACAGGCTCGAAGAGGATCTGAAAAAATAGGAAGGCTGCAATTGGAGGTGCAAAGGCTTCAATTTTTACTTCTAAAATTGAATGATGACAAAGAAGGCAAAGGAAAAGCAATGATTGATGATCAAAATCCAAGAGTCCTTTTGCGAGATTATCTATATGGTGGGCCAAAGAAAAGCTACTACAAAAGGAAGAAGAAAGCCTCCTTTTGCGCATGCATACAACCTCCAACCAGGGGAGATTGAATCAGCGAGAATTTTAACATAATTTAAAATACAAGGGACAAATGATACATTAGTTTTCTATGTAAACTTGCCTTTATAGTCTAGACATGTTTAAAAACCCTGCATATTTTACTATGGAGAGGATCTGGGGTTAACATAGTATTTAGATCCTGACATCCTGTTGTATATGTAGCGAACCGTTCACTCAGTAGAAAGAGGCTGGGATGAAATTCTCGCCATTTCATTTTCAGAAAATCCGCTCCGTCTTATTTCCTTCTTGGTTAGATGTGCAGCTATGGTTTATCTAGTAGCATTATCTCGTAAAAGTCATTTGTTCAGCATAAGTGAAATACAAATGAAGATATCAGCATAAATTGAACAGCTATATATGCACACTAACATTTCTTCCAATAATAACAATAATTAACATTCACCAATAACACGGTGGATAAAAGAAGCTTTTTACTTAATCACAACTCTCATAAAAAAAAAAATGAAAAGAAACTCTGTCTAAGTTCAACAACAGAATGCCGAGGCTAGAAGTCAAATTCTAAATAAGATGAACAGCAGAAGTGCCATTAGCATCTAGTTGCACTCCATGATGTAAATGTTTGGCCAAATTTTCTCGTACGATCTTTCCTGAAGGATCAACTTGCTTGCAATACTGTTCTCGATATCCTGAATCATGATGACCAGACAATGCAACCTCTAGATCTATGGTGTCTCTGCAATCAATAACTATATTATGAAGCAAACAACAAGTCAAGATAATGCTTGGCAATTTCCTCTTATCCGGTCTCCACATAACCTTACTAAGGATCCTCCAACTTCCCTTCAACAGCGAAAACGCCCTCACTGCAAGTAATCTTGCAGCTTCATGTTTGTTATTAAAAGTGAACTGTGAATCTGATATACCATTAGTTTCATAAGGTGTCATAAGCCACGGAAGAAGAGGATAACTATACCCACCAACTACATATTCTCTCATCACATCTCCATCTAAAGTTCTTACATTTCCATTCAAACGCTCTCCATTTTGCGAGAGTTTGAAAAACGACGAACACTTCAATAATCTTGAAAACGTCATGCCACCAGGCAAACCAGTGACAATATCAATGAACCTCATTTCATGATCAACAATTCCTTGTAACAACATGCTGTAATTCTTTTCTTGATCACACCAATCATCTGAGGTTTGGACTGCCGGAAGTGTCATCATGACATGTGTTGCATCAATGGCACCACAGCAATTAGGCAAACCACAAGACGCTTCGAAACCAAACTTGATTTCCTGCATTCTATCAAAATCCGGCCAACTGAGATGACGTTTAGCACGTTCCTCGAGCGCTTCAATGAATCTCCAAGTGACCTGAGAAACCGTGGACTGACCGACTCCAAAAGAAGCTCCAACCGAGACCTGAGACTCACCAGATGCCAACCTTCTAAGTGCAATAGCAACCTGCTTCTCAACACTAAGAAGCCTTCCCTCGATATTGATAAGACCCGACGGCGGCCTCGAAATGAGATCCTCCCTTACAAGAGAACATATGTAATCAAATGTAGTCTTTGAAACTCTAAAGAAATACTTAAACCCTTGTGCCTCATCATTAGGTACTGAGTATCCTGTGCAAAAGTTTGCATCAATCATACATATTATCAATTATCAATAACACATCTTAAAAAATCAATTAACTAACTATAATGATAATAATAAATCATGCCATTCAATCCCTATTTTGAACTGAAAAGGAAAGGGTTTTTTCATTCTAGAACAACATGGTAAAAACAAAGATTGAAACTTTATAAGGAAAATGGAATGAAGAGAAAGGAGAAGATACCAGGGGCAGTGGAATTTTTGTGCCAGAAAGATTGCCACCAATCAATTTCATTGGGTTTGGGTTCAACAGGGACAACCAGGCTCACTTGTTTGGGTTTCTTCTTTGATTTCTTGTGGAGGGGTGCCATTGATTGATTCGGTGTTCAGGGATAATGGGTTAAGCTTCAGCTGAGACAGAAGAGAGACCAATGTGAAAGACAGGAGGAGTTTATACAGTGATTCAAGTCAAGTTGAATTCTATTTAATGTTCACTCTATGTCTGTTTCAAAGACAGTATAGTGGCTTGTTAGTTTTTTTTTTGGTTTTTGGTTCTTTTTTATTCTTGTCCATATTTTTCTTTTACTTTTAGGATTTTAGGATGTCATAATTACACTCACTTACTCTTATTTAGTTTTTTTTAGACAATAGAGGGCCTAAGCCCAAAAAAAATCAACACTAAACAATAGAAAAACGGGGAAGAGTAAGTCATTTTTAAACGTCATTTCTAAAGGATAAAATTGTGAGGATTTTCTCATCCAAAATGAACAATATCTCGTAATCACAGTGACACAAATTTGAGGTTGATTAGTACAAAAATGGAGACAATAACTCTATTTACCGCACATAAAAATTTGTCAAATTTTCTGATTCGGTCAAACCTCAATTATTATCTATCAACGAGATCCGTGTCATACTCTAATTTTGTCACACTATCTATATATTCTTTAACTTATTGTACATTTTACATTTTTTTTTCTCCGCATTTTTAAGTCTGAATTTAGTTGAAACTTGGGAATCATCTAATCAAAACTTCATATTAAAGTACATTGTATCACTCTTAAACCATATTAGTTATATTCGTGTCTCATTTGCATTCACATCTTCATACATAATAAGTGATATGTCCTATGATTATCGTCACTCATGGTTTATTTTTAATTATCATTATCTTTTAAATTTGAAGCTCATTAAACTAGTACTTAGTATATATTTTTTCTATGATTTTTGCTTTGTCTTCATTTGAAGTCTCATACCATAATTCATGCATATGCTTTACATATTCTTAATCCTTTGGATTTTGTTTAAACTATATTTATCTTTACACATCATTGAAATTTAGATGAGCAGTTTGACATTCATTAAGAAAAAGAGATTTCTAATTGATTTTAGTTGTAATACACATGAGTCTTGAGCATGGTCAAAATAAGTATACGAGTCCATATAATTTTGATTTTGAAAGTATAATATTTTTTTTCAATTTAATAAAAGTGCATTATATTTGATCATTTTACATAGCTTGCACTGTATATACATTAGTCTTGAAAATAATATAAAAAAGAGAAAATTTAAATTCATAAAAGGTTTAAATGTACATATTCTCTTTGAAATATCTTTTATTTAAATAAACTATCTATTCTCTTTGGAATATCTTTTATTTAAATAAGTTGTAAAAAAGAAATTAATTGGGTGTAGATATTGTTATTCCTCAAACATTTGAACATTGGCAGTAAAACTCGATGTTTGAGAACTTGTCGTCCGCATTAAAATACAATAATTAATTAAATTAAATTTGTTTTTATGTGGAAGAAAAAGGATTAATTGAGTGTAGACCTTATCCTACATCGAGTATTTGAACTCTGATTGTAGAGCTCATTGTACGAATACTCTTCTTTCGTTAAAGAACCATTACTCAATTTGTCTCACATCTTTTATAATAAATTTGAACAAAAAAGGAATAATTGAGTTTAAACCCCTTTTCTCCTAGAGTCTTCGTACACTAGTTGTAGAGTTCGTTGCGTGGATACTTGTCTTCCAATACAAAACTCTAATATATCAAACTATTTTCTCGCCCCCACGCGGTCGAAAACCTTTTTGCAAAAGAACATCATTTAGTATGTTCTACCGCGACACAAACAAACGCTTAAAGCCTCCAATTGTGAGCATAAGCAACGTCTGATCGCTAGAACACGATCTAAACATTTACTCAATAAAATCAACCAACCAATACATAGTTTTATACGAAGAACTACGTTGCTTTGAATTCCTTATCGCACCTGAGGATGAAGGAAAATTGCGATCTAAACGCAGCGGAAAACAAAAATTTCCTTTAGTGATCCTTACGAATGAGCATGGTCAGTGATAGAATCGTTACCTCTTTGTGGCGATTCAGATCTTTGATGCAGCGATCACAAGCGTTGATGAAGTGCAACGCCTCTACTCAGTCCACACGAACAGCTTCCGGTCACAGTGCTAGCTGCTTATGAACGGAATTATTTGAGTGAGAAAAGAGAATCAAAAACGAAAATGCATCAAGTGAAAGCTTCATCACAAGGGTTCCTTTTATAGACTCTCTTGTGGGCTGCGGGCTAAAACCCTAATTCACATGATCCATAATAATATTATATATTATTATAATAACTATTATTATAATAAATATATTTATTTTATTATTATTTTATAACCATTATAAAATAACAATAATTATTATTATATTATCCGAATTTCTATTTTTCACTTAAGTGCACCGTACCTTACGGTGTTCCTTTGATTTCTCTATCTCTCATCAAATTGTCCTTATGTGTGTGACCCTGTAGGATTTCGTAACGTTGGTAATTATATTAAATTATATATATTTAACATAATAAACAGTAAGCGGTATCTAGCAACACATCACTGCTACCCAAGTCACGAAAATGTCATGTGATCTGACAAAACCTTTTTCGTGATAATATATGTTTGTACAATTACCCTTTTGCCCCTATGTCTATATTGAACACAAGGCATACACTGTGTCATCCTTGTCTAGTTCAATATTGGGCCCTTAGACATTTCTCCCGTTATGCAGGATTGGCAAATTCCATCTAGGACACTCATGTCCCTCAGCATGCTTCGTGGAGTGCCCATCAACTGTCTTTATGATCATCCAGTTACGGGTAATGTTTGATCAGCAATAAAGCACCCGACTCTACATCTAGGGTCCATAGTGGTTTCAGGTCGAAGGGTGGTAATACACCATTATCACCATGAGAATAACTTATGACACTTTGCATAACATACTATGTAGTATTCTCATAGCGGGTCAATCCGGTATAAATATTACTCCTAATATTTATACCTATGTCAAGACTTGATAACTCTTTATCCATGATCCATGAGATGTGATCATCAGTCTATCTTCATAATAGTCTCAATGCTTTTAATGTTATCCCACTTTGCAATAAAGCTTGACTACGGATATTTTAAGAATAATGTCTTTATGTTTAATGGGATCTCATGATTAAGTCACACTTAACATTTCATTAAACAAACTAACTATTCTAGGGACTTTATTATTCTGAAAGACAAACATAATAAAGAAATGCCTTTTATTATTAAACGAATAATCTGATACAAGTACCAAAAAGTATTGGCCTCTAGGGCTTACACCAACAGAGGATACATAAGAGCAAGACATGCAATCTTGTCAAACACCCTAATAAAAATCTTTTGGCGACCCCTTTTATTTTCTTTTTCAATCTTTTATCACTCGAAGAAAACAAATAAAATAAGCTAACATTCTAATTGCAAATCTAACTAAATGATTCCCATTTAGTACAATAGATGTGAGGGGTGCAAATATCTTCCCATCGCATAATCGACTCCCAAAATCGAATTTGGTTGCGACAACCATTTTCTTTTTATTTTAATGGTTTTATAGACAATTTCCATTTCCTTCTCGAATAAATAAAGTTCGGTGGCAGCTTTGTTATCATCATCTCGAGTGTGTGATAAATGGTTTATGCATCGTTATTTCTAGTCATTTTCTCGTAGTATTTCATCGCATTTTGTTCAGTTGACTTCCAATTACTATGTTTTATGCTTTGGTTATGTGTGTTTTTTTTCCATTTTCAGAGTCTAATGAGCATATAAGACAAAGAGGGGTCAAAAACAAGCAAAACAAGTCAAAGCGACAAAAGGCGATTTTCCCCATACTAAAACAAGCCACCCGTAGCAGCTACTAGATGCCGTAACAGTAGAAGACCCTAGGGATCCCCCTTGTTCCATTCCCAGTACAAAGAACAGAGACCTGCTATGGCCACCCGTAGCAACTTCTACGGGCCGTAGCAGGAGGGCGAGGAAGATTGTTTTTGTTTCCTTATTTAGATTGATTCTCCTTTATTGTGTCTCTTAGGCAATATTTGATTAGATGCAAATCTGATGTAATATTCATTGAAACAAGGATTTTGTGCAATTTATACCTTTTTCTATAAAACTCATAAAGTTTTTATGCATATTTTGTTTTCTTTTTCTCTGTACGCAAGTCTCCAAGGGAGAAAGATTGGATCAAAACTTAATCTAAAACCAGATTTTCATATTCATTCTTATTCAATTGTTCATCTATTATAAATTGTTTGATATGAATACTGATTTGATCATGTTTTCCCTCACCGTGAATGATTAGTCCATTAGGGACTAGGAATTATGGGATTATCTTATGACCTCTTGTATGATCTGTCACTATCGATTACAATAGTTTTAGTTTAAACTTATTTTATAACTTGAGTTCATGCATTCCAACTTCGTTAAAAAGAAAGTGATTCTAAAGTATCAACGTAGTCTCAAAGAATATTTGTTGATACCAGAGCATAGATTTTTAAATAACCGAGTCCAAAACAATGAAAGCGCTTGGACAAATTTGAGAAAACTATATAGCTGAGCAAAATTAACAAACCATCGACGAATAATTTGGCCGTGCAAAAATGGACGACCTATTCGTCGTTGATAGGGCAATGCACTGGAAAAAGCAGGTATTGTCCATATTTATCTATTTTCTATAATTTATGTAGAATAATCGTAATAGAAGTTATATGCACTACTAGAAAAAACACATTTAACGTCAGACGCGAAATGCATTTAACCTCGGCTAAAGGGGCGAGGTAACGAAGGGCGTCATAAAAAGTTCACACTTTACCTTTAGGTTTTAGAATAATCGACGGGCGAGTGAAACAATCATGAGTTTTATCCCTAGGGAGACCTTTTTGGAATTCTGAAATGGCGAAAACACATGTCCCCTCGGTTTTGTAATTTCACCGATGAACATACCATATTTTCACCTCGGTTATCTAATAAAACCGCAGGGTAAAATAATTTTGAGTTTAATAAATCTAATGTGGATTTCTCTAGATATACATCGATAGGAAGGAATTCAGTACTTAATCCATTGGTCTCTAGGTTCAATATCTTTTACTACTTCGCACAGTCATGCACTTGCGCATGCATCAAGTTTTCGACGCTATTGTCGGGATCCAATTGTGTCTAATATTGAATTACCGTTTGATCACTGTATATACTAGAGATTTAATTTTATGCTTATTTTACTGTGTTTTTCTGTTGTGGTTCTCGTTGCTCTTGTATGCAAAGAACTCGTTATGTTGGAAGCTTAGTTGAGCCCGTAGATGAAATCAAGCGTTTCTTACTCGAGAGACGCCAAAATCTTATATTACAAGTTATGGATGATCTGGTAGATGATACTAAACCTCTAAAGGATTAAGTTATGGATGATCCGTAGAATAATCATAGAATAATCATCATCAACTTCATCAAGAGATTCCCTTGAAGAAGAAATAGTAAAATCAACCCCTGTGGAAATAGTAAAACATGTTTAGTTATTAGGGTTCCACATTTGATGAGAAAAAGACATATTGTCGAGCAAGGGTGGAGGATAAGTGAAATTCATCATTAGGGAATCATCCATAATTGTAGTAAGTTTAATCTTTCATTCTTTATTGTAATAGTCATGAATCCCTTAAGGATGAATGACTAGTTCCCTTATATTAGACCCAATTTAGATAAATTTTCTCCAAAAATATGAATTGTGTCATCCACTTAGTTTTGATCCATGTAAATGAACCTCTTCATATGATTATTCATTTTTATTTTAGCTTACATCTTCTGAATTGTTAGAACTCATATAGATAACAATGAGAGCTAGTTGTAAATTTCATATAGAAACTGAATAAGATTGTGAGGAATTTTATAATTCCTAGAGATATGGAATCGTGGTAGTTGACACTTTATGCGTGATAAACCTTCTCATGATTTCATCAGGGTCATCAGGGGAAGGAAAATAACAAAGTGAGTTACATAATAATGAAACCGCTTGTAACTATTTTGTAAACTGGTCGTTATTTAAAAGGAATCACTATGGGTTCTACCAAGGATTAACCACAGGAAAATGGAAAAGAATTCAAAGAATGAACTTAATTGTTAGTTTAATCTAGTTACTCTCATATTTATAGAACAACCAAATCAATCAGGTTCTGCGCACCCACGTTGCATTTACGTATTTTAGGCTTCTGATAACAAGTTTACTCTCCTATGTTTTTTTAAATTAATGACAATCCATGTGAATATGATTTAAATTTACCCAAATTTTATGCTTTTTGTTGGCACGAATAATACTAAAATTTACAACCAACATGACCTAGGGATATATATCACAAAATTTTTTCAAAAGGAGTGATTTGTTCTTATTCAATATAGTTAGTTGAAAAAAATGGTGGAGCGATTTAGAATGCACAATGCTAAAACCATAAACACTCTTTTGGGTTATCACATGAAGCTTTAGGTCATGCAATGTTCTGAAAGTGAAGAAGAAAAAAAGATGATGAAGAGTACTTCCTATGCAAGTGGGATTGGAAGCATGATGCATGATATGGTTTGGAGTAGATCTGAATTAACATATGCAGTTAACATAGTAAGTAAGTTTATGAAAATTCCTAGTCAAGTTCATTGGGAAGATTTGAAATTGGTGCTGAGATATTTCAATGGTTCATTAAAAGGTGGTTTGAAATAAACAAAATCAATCAATGAGGAAGACGATTTTAGGGTTTTGTGGATACAAATATGCGGAAAATAAGGACATTAGAAAATCCTTATCAGATTTTGTATTTACGTTGTTTGGTGAAACTATAAGTTAGAAGAAAAATCAACAATACGTAGTCGCAATATCTATCATTCAAGCATAATATATTTCCCTTATTGATGGGGTCAAGGAAGCCATATGATTGAATGCCAGGATTTGAGAGTTGAAAATCACTTAAGAATGTATGAAAATACATTGCGATAGTCAAAATGCCATTCACTTGGACAATCATCAAATGTATCATGATATAGAAAAGCTCATTAACATTCGTTTGTAATTCTTAAGAGACACGATCGAATTGGATAAGATTGTGATTTAAAAGGTGGCTCAAAAGAGAAATCACCATCAGATGTATTCTCTAAATCATTGTCTAGATCAATATTCAAGCACTCTTTGAACTTATCAAGTTCGTTAATGAATGATTCTAGCTTTGGAGATAGAAATTAGGTGATAGATGGAAAAATTGACATTATCATTGATTTTAGAGTCAAGGTAAATTGTAGAAATTTACTGAAGAAGTCTTAAGAACATATTTTCCAGAATGCAATGCGTTTTATGGTAACGCAATGGGTTTCACCTAAAACTTATAAAAGGTATTTTCAACCCATTTATGAGGAGAAGATTAAAAGAGGTGAAATCGTAGATAGAGAAACTTAAGAAAAAGAAATATATTCTTAGGCTTCATTTTTCTAAGAATTAGAAGACATTTGAAAATATTTAATGTGATTGAAAATTACATCTAAATACTTTGCATTTGTGTGATTTATATATCGAAGAGATGTGAGATTTAAAAACACTTGAAAAGAAAATAGGAGATATTCTTATGAACTTAGAAAGACTATTTTCTTGTAATATCTATCTTATAATATTTTATAATATTTTGTAACAACTCTTAAATCATAGTGGATAAGAAAATCGTTCTCTTTTTTAAAATAGACCGGTTTGAACAAACTAGATAAACAAATTATATGTATACTTATAATTATTTTTGTGAATGTACTTACATATATTAATTTTACTAATTTAATTGTCATTGTTCTTTGTCCTATATATAAAAAGATGCGTTTGATCTTTCAATTTCACAACACCGGTTGATTATGTCGCTAGACAATGCAAGACATAAGTTTCTTTTCTTTTTTCTTTTGTCAGAAATCTGATTAATTTTTATCTATTGAAGTGAACCTGTAAAATGTCAAAGCATTCCATCAATAATTCTATCTACATGCCCCCGTCAAGTATTTTGCATCTTCTGTACTCTTCTTATTTTATGGAGTACACTACATATGAAATTCATCTTAATTATGCTGAGTTATTTCGAAATAAAATACAATGATACGAATAAGTATGTATCTTCCAATAAAGACTTTGTAAATTGTTATGACCTCTAACAACATTTTCCAATTTCATAACTGCTACTTTCCATTTAAAAACAGATTATAAGGATACATAAATATTCAACAGCCTATGTTGGAAACACTCTTCCAACTCAAGATGCAAATTTGAGAAACTTATTAATGTATAATACTCTAGCACTCTCTATGCCTCAGTGTATATTCTTTAGCATGATTCAGAAACTATCATGCCACATATAATAGCAATTAGTAGCTAAGATAAACTCTATAATAAACAATGCTTCTTCTCACACACTATTCAAACCTTCTGATTCATCTTTCATGGGGTTGGCCTTTTGTGTATGAAGCATGAAGCTGCTGCATACTCCAACAGCCTCTTCAACTGTCACATAAACCCATTTATGTCCTATTTCATCTAGGAACTTTGATTTGTTCAGCTTCTTCGTCACCTCGCTTCCGGGGTTGACCAAAACAAGCTAAAAACATAGAAAAAGAGTACAAAAATTTAATTAATACTCGCTCGTTATTGTAAAGGGACAAATAATTTGATATTAAATAATTACTTGTAGTCCTTTTCTGTCGACCGTCTTCTTGAACTCTTCAAGCATGCTTATTCCACTTGTATCAATGTTCGCAACAGCTGCGAATCAAAATAAACTTCAAGTTAAACCAGAAATCTTTCTAACCAGATTGTTAATTAATCTCTTAATCACTTTTTAATCAAGAACTTACCTGTCATATCCACTATAACATACTGCAAACTAGTACTTCCTGCACCTTTGATTTTCTCTTCCTCTTCATCAATCCACCTTGTGATCCTATAAACAAAAATTTCTACTAAGTTTCCAATTTTTCTAAGGGAATTTTTTTCCTTTTCCATAAAACTAATTAGTATCTCACCTCTCTCTTAAATAGCTTGCATTTGCAAAGTATATCGGCGCGTCAATTTCAAGAATTAGTATTCCAGGAACATGATGTGCATTTGGATAATGTTCTACATTTCTGTATGCCGATGAATTCGGAATGTTTCCTAAAACAAATGTTCTAGGCCTTGCTATAAATAAAAGTACTCTAAGTACAGATATTGCAACCTGCATATTCACAAAAAAGCATATATTAATTTCATATATAAAATTACTTTAGAAAAAAATATGAGCATAATGATACATACTGCAAGAACTAAGCCAATTTCAACACTGCCAAAGACAACTCCAATATATGCACTGAAGCATACTAGAAAATCGAATTTATCGATTTTCCACAAATGGATTGCGGCTTGATAATCTATGAGTCCAAGCATTGCAGATACAATTATGGCTGATAACACCACTAGAGGAGTGTAATGGAACAAAGGTGTTAGGAATAGTAATGTCAACATCACAGCTATTGACATTACAATGTTTGATGCTGCAGTTTTGCAACCAGCGTTGTAATTCACAGCCGAACGCGAAAACGGTCCTGCAACAACATGGTGAATTTTGTTAACAATTGACGCGCGGATACTAATTGATATGAATTGATGATGAGATTATTTTACCTGTTGTGAGGTAGCAAGAGGTTAGTGAACCAAAAATATTCATGGTACCAATAGCTATCATTTCTTTGTTACCATCAATGTGGTAATTCTTGAACATTGCAAAGCTTCTTCCTACTGCTATTCCTTCCTGCATAATCATGAATTTGGTTTTCAAAACCTTCTTGGTATGATTAACTACAAAGTACCGACACCGAAAACATGACACAGACACATTGAAATGATAATTATTTATAAAAATGAATAAATTAAAGATAATCACAAGTGTAGCATCATACATTGACACCATCTTGAATACCAATTTTTTCAGAGGTGTACTGAGTGATTAATTGAGAGAGAAAAAAAAATGAGAATTGAGATGTACTTACCGCAAGAGCTATTATACCAGTAATGAGTCCAGTTTTGATGGCTGTGCCCAGATAAGGTGACACAAACACTAAATCTGTCGCTGAAGGTGGATTTAGCCCCTTCTTCAAGTTTCCTATCTGAAATAAAATTTTAAAATTCAATAATAATAGTGTCAATTAACTTAAAAAAAGAAAAGAAACACTAATGTATTTTTAACACATACTCAATTAAATATTGATTAAAAAATGTAATGACTCAAATTCAAGCATAAAATTTTACATAAAATATTCTCACAGTTGAACATACACTTTTACTTTTAGTGCATACTAATTTTACATTGATAAAGATATTTTATATAGCCATATCACCCTATAAATTGTTATAACTGGACTCTAATTTGATGTTAGGTGTAAAACTGTTTTATATTAATATTAAATGTCTATTAAATCATATATTACAATAATAGATTAAGGATATATTGAAATCGTCCTATTTAATCTTATCTACTAATATAAATATTGTGACATAATTTTAAAAAAACTTATCAAAATAGCTTACGAAAAACATATATATTATATAAAAATAAAAATTTATTTTATCTTTTAACTTATGAAAATTTATCCTAAAACACTTATTTTAATAATCACTTGTACTATAAATTATGAATGAGTTGTCTATCCAAACATGCCTAATGCCGAATTGCTATAAGCTAAAGATTGTATTCAATCAATTTATGTGGCATATTATATGATGGCTGATTATATACATGTATAATAAAATATAAATGCTTATTCAAATTTTTTTGACATAATAATACACAACCAAACGAACAACAACAAAACACTACCCACAATAAGTGAATGGGCCCAACGTAATTCGTACCAACGGGCCCACAGTAGGGAATACTTTTGGGTTGACCCAATAATAACAACCCAAAAGGCCCCTTGAAACACGAGATTGTGACTTATTAGGCATAGTATGGCAGTGTCTGTACAAATGGGCCCACAGTAGGGAACACTTGGGCTGGCCCAATGTCAATAATCGGTGTCTGTCCTAGTGCCGTGTTTGGCTGTGTGAAAGTCACACAAGAAAATCAATTATCATGAAAATTAAATGATTAAAAAAAAAGCTGACCACTTGAACGCCGTGCTTCTCCGCGTGAGTTACATAAACCAATATACTTCCCAATATCACCGACGTCAGTGGCGCCATGGCTGACACCCAAAAGAACTTTGGTTGTCGTTTGCTCTGTCATCGTCACAATCACAAATAAACAAAAGTTAATCATTAAAATATTGTGGGGCCCATTTTTATTACCATAAAAAATAAATAAAAAAGTTTGCGCCTAACATGTACAGAAGAACTACAAAAATGTAAAAGAGACGAGAATCATGTGGTGTTAACAATATATAGGCATGTAGCTATTGAACTAAGAGCATCTTCTATGTATGATGCATCTATGTTTTGTTTTTTTAACTTATAAGACCAGGGTCCCACAATTGTGTTAGAATTTGTCTCAATGTTAAGCTTTTCTTAATTAAAGGTTAATGTAAAAATTACTATATTCACTTATAAATATTAATATGAAGTTAGAATAAATTTTAAAAACAAATTTATCCATGCTCAAAATAAATCTGAAATACAATGTAGTATCAACATTTTTGAAAAAAAAAATTGTATATTTATGTCTATGTTTAAGACTCTAACATTTTGAATTATATTTAAGTTATGTAACTCTTTTTAATTATTATCGGTGTCAAAGCCACTTTTTCTTCTGATGTCTTGTGGTCATAGGTTAGATATGTCCATTTCCATAAGATTCATGGAATACTTGTTCCAAAGCAGGAATGAAATTTATGTCTACAAGTTTAGCTAAAAGAATATTATATAAAATAAAAAATATTATTTTGTTACAATAAATCTCTGGTGTAGTATACCAATTTGTCATGGCCTTGGGTGGGAACAACACCAAAAGAAGGATCTAATGTCAATTACCTTAAAAATTCGCCAACTTAATAAACAAAGCAAAGTTTGGTAAATAAAACTTGACAATGTAAGAATAAGTAGGTTTTGAAATTCCAATCCCTAAGAATTAATTAACTAAAGCAAAGAATATGAGGTTATAGGATCATAATCAATATGAGTAGAATAATTAACAAAGGTATATGTTAGGTAATACTTACGAAGTATCTTGTAACGAGGAGGAAGAAAATAAAACAACACCCTAACACTGCACTTTCCCATCTCCACTGCATCACATGAATAAGAAAACAAAAATGATTTGTGTTATCAGGTGCACAATAATGCGTTGTCTTATTGTGTCACGAGGTACAAAACAAACACCTAGCTAGTTGTTTATGTATATAATGTTTCAACTTGTATTTACTATACCTCGTGAGTTTGGCTGAAAACAGAGTTCATAACTGACACAACATCAGCTTTATGTGTGAATTTTTCAAGTCCTAAAATCGATTTTAGCTGTTGCAGACAAACTACTGTAGCTGCTCCTCCCATGAACCCTACTATCGCTGCATGTGATAGAAAATCCACAATAAACCCTAACCTGCACCAACACAGGCTTATGCATTAATCATTAATCATTCAAAATAATTACTAATTATGTTAAGTGAAGGAATAATTATACTATAAAGGTCAATCATTCACACTCATGCTTATTTAAATTAATTTCGGGTATGTGATAGTGATAGTACTGTTGTACATCAATAGTTGAATTGGACTGAAATTATAGATCAATCGCACTTAACAGTTTTGTTATAGAATTTAATTTATATTATATTATAATGTTTATATACGTGGTGAATCTCAGAATTGCGAGAATACAAAATGGTTTTTGACAAAACAAATTATTAAAAGACAAAAAACTCCAGCGCAACTCATATCCAATTGCTGAAACATTATTCCACCCATTTTTCTTCGGTTTATAAAATTTTACCAATAATATGAATGAACTAAAATATTTTATAAATATTTTGTATAATAACAAATAAATATGATCTACTTATTACTAAAGTTTTGAAAAAGGGTCTAAAAGCAACTGCCACAAAATAATAACAGAAGATATTAATATCAATATTCACTATTATATATAAAAACGAGAAGATTCTGATACTGATATTCACCGACTTACAATAAAAACAATCATGATGATCAATATTGTAACACTTATATCGATCAAATTAGCAAAAATCTCTGCTGTTATTTGAAACCTTAGTTCATATGAAATAGTAGTTACCTAAAGAGGCCCAGTGATAATTGTAGAAGTCCTGCAAAGAATGTAGCAGTGAAAGCGAGGTGGAGATAAAGCGTCGGATTCTCGATAGGACTAGCTTCACGACTCAACATGGACGCCATCAGAAGCGATCCAACGGCCACAGTTCCCACCGCCAAATCCCTCGAGCTACCCATCATGGCATAAATCAACGGTGGTATAAAGCTTGAATCTGCATCCATCATCCACACATACTTTTAAGTTTCATTCTAAACTCTAAACTAGTTTAAAATATAAAATTCAATATTATTTCATATACTCACAAAGTCCAAGAATGGGAGGAAGATTCGCAAGCTTAGCATAACTAATCCCTTGAGGAATAGCCAAACTAGCAATGGTGATCCCAGCAATCAGATCCGATTTCAAGAACGGAAGAGTATATTTTGGACCCCACTCCAAAATGGGCAGAAAGTGTTGAAGAGCCAGCACAAGCTTCTTTGAAGCAGGTTGATTCTTGAACTTCCTCAAAGGATCATCCGGGAATAAAGTCTCTTTCATAGAATATTTCAGAGACTCGAAAAACGGTTGCGGCCGTGGTATAGCCACACGGTGAACACTCTCAACATTCATTCCAGAAGGGTAAGAATCATAGTCACCATTACCCATCACTCAAGATAATTTGGCACTGTATTATAGTATATAGTTTTTATATGTATGTAACTTAATATAGAAAGGTGATAGCTTATAGGGTAAGACTATATATAATTATACATATGTAATAATGGCGGTTTTGTTTTGAATAACTAGAATCATAAAAGGGTAAGGGATGGTTGGATTGAAAAGAGTTGAGAAGTGAGAAGGGATAAGGAAGAAGGAAGAGGAGACAAGCTACACAGATTTGTGTGAGAGTTGTGAATTATGGCATGGATTTATATTAACAAGTTTTTGACTATGTGATGTGTATGGTTGGCGAATTGGAATTTTTGTGTTATGGGAAAAACAAAGTACTTGAGTTGTCAATTTGATAGGGTCTTTTGAAATTTGATCTTACACTCCATGTTTGGAGGTATAACTTTACACTATTTATTTAGTCTTTGTTTGTTAAAAATAATGGTTTCATAAATTATTAACCGATAGTTGATGACTTATTGTTTATTGTTTATAGTTTATAATAGATGATTGATGACTTATAGCTCATATGATAATAATTAAAGTGTTTGATAAAATTAACTGTTTAACTAACTTATAATGTTATATGATATAAAAGATATTTAATATATATTTATTTTACTTTAAGCTAATATAAATTATAAAAGATAAAAAATGGTTTTTGTTAAAAATATAAGGGTAAAAATAGAAGAAAATATGATAATTGAAATATTATTTGAAATAACGTCTAAAAAATAAACTATAAATTAGTAAAATAAAGATCATTATTAAATAAATCTAAATTATCATATGAGCTTATAAATTATAAACTATAAATTCAAAATTATGGCTTACCAAACATACCCTTAACCTAAAATAAATAAGTCTTCTTGATAAAGAAAGTCCAAAATCAAAGTTGAATCCAAATCCAAACATTTTAATTTGTTTTTATTTTCTTTAAGAATAATTATTTGTTCCAAAAATTATATTAAAAACTAAACATTTTTTACCTACAAATAATGATTTTTTTATTTATATTAAAAAATAATTTTGCATTTTTTCCAAATAAATATGGTCTTGTGTCCCCTGATCTAAGCCTAAATAAAAAACTACTAAAAAACTTGACATTTTCTTTTCTCACTCTTTAAGATTTTGAGAAATCCTTTCAAAATCTAAAAATATCTTTTGAATTTTAAAATTCAAAACATAATTTTTAAATGTTTGAATTCTAAAATCCGATCATTATATAGATCCTACAAAAACTCTCTTCTTACCCTCTTTTCTCTATTTTTTTTCTTTTTATCTTAAAGTTTCAAATATGAAATCTTTACATTCATTGGCGGGTAGAATCATTATGTATTAAACTATTTAATATTTTAATACATATGACTTGTTGATTCTTTAACTTCTGTATCGAACAAGAGGAGATGAACACGCGAGGTGAAGATATTACTAATAAATGTTTTTTAAAATTTAGAAAATATAGAAACTATATTTGTACATTTATCACCAAACAATATCTAAGAGTTAAAAATTGAAAGTTTAATCCGTTTCTTAAATCGAAAGATTGGAGCCTTCATAAATTTTAGGAAAATTCAAAGAAGAAGGAAATCATAGAGAAGTTTAACGAACTAGTTCAATTACCCAAAGATGAATGAGCAGAAACAGAAGAATCATCAACTTCATCAAACTCCTATCAAACGACTCTGATGGTTTCCTGTGATAAAACATACTCAGTAGTTGAATGATCTTCAAAAAATTCAACATCGAATGAAGGAACCTCATGTGTAAGAAACTATGAAGAATAAGTATCTTCCATAGGAATCTTCTTTTAATAAAAAATAAAAGTTTGCTTAAAAGCATCCTATGAGGAAGGTAATATTAAGGTAACTAAACCATCCTATAAGAAGTCGTTTAAAATTAGTTCTAAGTTGGTTGAAGAAAATGATAATCTTAAGAAACACAAACTAGACCTTAAGAAGTATTTAGCGATTCTTTAAGAAAACAATAAATCTTTTAAGTAAGAAATAACTAAAATTAGAAACTCACGAGAAACGTGTGAGACTTGTGACTCTTTGAAAATAGAAGTAATTGAATTGCATGAAACCCTAGGTAAATTTACCAAATGGAAATAAAACCTTGACATGATCCTATCAAGTCAAAGGCCTTCCTTAAATAAAAATGAATTAGGATTAAAATCAGATAGAATACCTAATAAAGGTTCATATCATAATAAAAATAACCGTCTAGTTAATAAATGCACACGCTGCAAGAGATTTGGCCATTTAGAGCCTTTATGTTTTGACAAATTAAAATGGTCTACAGGTAATAACCATATACCTTCTAGGAAAACTAATGCACCTGAACCTAAGAAAATTTCGGTACCAAAGGTGAAACCCTAGTGTTTTTTAGGTATGCCTTGCAGTTGTAAGTTTCAAGGGTTTTTAATGGAGTTGTGCAAAGAAAAAATTATAATTCCAAGTATACAATATTTATGAAGTCTTTAATCCTAGAATGTATGATGATGGTGAATATCAACGACGGTGATCAAAGAAAGTGTTTTTTTAGGATATCTCAACATTTATGATCCTAAGTAATCACTTTAGTGAATATGCTTGTAATGGATATGTTTACGTCATTAATTAAAACAATTCTCGCATCCAACGATTCAAAGAGAAGGACACACCAAAGTGTATTGATGTTCCTCTTAAACAAGAAACTTTATCAAGACTTCTTGATAATTGTCATACCCCAAAAGTTTCCCCACCTAAAACCTAATTCACATGCATTCATCCATTGACATTCATTCATCTGCACCTATTTGTTTGCATCTCATTCATTTGTATATCTTTATTTGATTTAACTTCTTATGACCATTTGGTCTGGTCATAGAGCTTCATATTCATGCATAAGTTAAATCATTGGTCAAGGATTGTAGGTTTATATGATTTTATTATTTATATTGACCAATTCATACATTCGCGTCATGCATCACTAGAGATCACTAAAATAGAAGCTTAATGGTTCATCTGGTTCTTGAAAAAAAGATGATTATTTAGCCAATTTAACCTTGTACGATTCTTTTTCATGATCCATACGTTCCTAGTATGCATTCATCCATTCATGTACTTTAGTCTCAAAATTGCTAATAAGTGTCTCAATGACACAATTTCTTGTGGATTCATTCTTTTTGGATCTTTCCCGCTGAAGAATTAGTGTTGATTTTAAGGATCAATATTAAGAAAGAATAAGACATTCATGCATACTTTGTTGCTAGGATTTAATAAACATCTTTTCTTGTGTTGATTATAAATTAGATTTGAATCTATATTTTTGCATTTAAATTTGCATGAATGATTTGGTTAAGCAAGTCGGATAATTGATATCATCATATATGAGTGCATTAATTAGTTTTCAAATTGGGCCTTTCTCACTTTTTTTAACATTAAGTATCATACAAAAAGTCCATTACATAAAAAAAAAGGATTTGGATCTTCAATTTTGCAAGATTGGGTCTGTTAACTCCACTTAGTTGTTTTTCATCTAGTGAAGCTTTTGGTCTTAATTCTTTGACTCTATTACCAGGAAGACAACATTCTAACTTCATGCAAGGAGCTCTTTTTTCTGCACAAACAGACATGGTGATAAGTTAGAACGATTTTCGGAAAGAATACAAACTAGAGAAAACCAAATAATAAAGTTTAGAATATTACTATACACTTTAAAGACATAGCAGGAAGTTGCCTAATATAGTCAAGAAAAAATTTTCCCTCCTAGAAAGTAACCAAAGAGAATTATTATTGTGTCAATCATGTAACAAGAACGTAACATTAATCTCATTGAATCCTATTTCCCTAAAAGATAAAAGGAAGTGCTAATCACACAGAAAGGGAGGGATATACAAGAGGCCATTGCACAAGATTTATATTGAATACCTGTTAAAAGGTGATCAAATTTTTGAACTTCTGCGGTAGGTCTTTCATTCTCGTATCGTTAACTTTCTCTTTTGTTTGATCTCTATTTTAAACTCAACCTATTTCCACTGTAATTTGCATTGCGGCTTTGTTTATTTTGTTGAATGACGCAAGACTTTCGGTTGGGGGTTGGGATTTTCGTGGGAGTTAAGAGATTTTGTTTTTTCTTGGCTACTACACAATCTTATGCAGTGTTGGTTGTAAGTCTCGTTGAATTTAAGAATGGATTTAGCAACACTATTGTTGAACTGGGTTTTGAGAAAGGCTTGAAGATTTGGGTTGAGGATTGTCTGATTTCTTCCTCATCTTCTTCGGCCTTCCCTCAGTTCGGTTTCCTTGGTGCTCCACCGTTTCCTTTTATATCAATTGAAAGAGTTTATTTTGAGGAAGAGAACGACCGTGAGAGAAAAGAGAACTAGGTTTTTGCTCTGCAGTTGTGTCCCTGTCACTTATGTTTGGATGAAAGATGATTCGGGTTGACCAAACCCAGTTTCCTTGGCTCTAACTCGTCTCCCACTATAAGCTTGGGTTGTACGGGCCTCACATCTTGTTTTGACAACATCTCATATGGCCCATCTGATTAATTTTTTATTTTATTTATTATTTTTGTTTTAATAGTTTATCAAATTTTTCTATTAAATTTTTTTCTTTTCATTATTAAAATATTTTTTTAGTAGCACCTTAAAGAATAATAATGAATAATATATCAAAAAGTGAATATTTTCTTTACTTAAGTTTTTTTTTTTTTTTTTTTTTTACCTTTTTAATAAATTAAGAATATATTATCTCCATTATTAAGAACATATAAAAAAGTAAAAAAAAAAAAGAAAAAAAAAGAAAAGGATTATCTTAATATCAAAATAAAATCTAAAAAAAATATAATAATGATATTTTTTTAATCCTTAGGAAAATAATATGTTTTATTTTTCTAGTTTATCTTTATATTTTTTTTTTATTGTTATCTTTACTTTTATTTATCGTTTGTTTAATTTGTTTCATAGTATTATTTTATTAGTTTTATTATATTTTATTATATCCTCAATT